ATCGGCCATTTGGTTTGCCGTCCCGGACTTGCTCAAGAGCTGAACTCCATCAGAAGCAGACACTGCTGCAGTATGCCTGGCGTCGCTCCGAACTTGTCCCCACTGTTCCGTAGACCTGGCCACAGCATGACTTTTTAATATGGATTTATGAGTGTTACCATCGGATGCCTGCGGCTGTTCAGGTATTCCGTCCGACCTTTTANCAGATGGAATTGCGTCCTCAGACATCCCTCTTGCGGATTCCACAGAACCAGACTTCCGTAAAGCCGGTTCTACGGAAGCCGGTTCTACGGAAGTCGGTTCTACGGAAGTCGGCTCTACAGAACTTATTTTCCTTCTATCCTCATAGTCCCTATCCTCATAGTCCCTATCCTCATAGTCCCTATCCTCATAGTCCCTATCCTCATAGTCCCTATCCTCATAGTTATGTTGGGTTCCGTCATTCGGCAGTCTTATACTCACTTTCTTAGATGATGATGGATATATTAATGTCTCTTCCTTCTTCCGATCCTTCCCATGGCTTCTTGCTGTATTGTTCGTAATGGTTTTTCGATCCTTAGCCACGTTAGATTTGATCGTAGATGAGTCAATAGTGTAGTATGCTGATAAATAGATTAGTGCAACAAACACAACAATAGTCAAGTATGCTGATACCACGTTTAACGAATAGGCCCCAAGACGGTTCTCATATCCGCTGAGACAGTTGCTAGGAAACCAGGAGCCAGGTATGGAGTACGCCAGTGTTAGTACATTCAAATGCTTGTAGTTCTTCAGTGGCCAGTGGGGTGTGGAGAACATACCAAGAGAAGCAACAGAGTTCAAAGCAGAGTACGGCATGTAACCTAAATGGGTAAGCGACGGCCTCTCAATTAGCAGTCTGTATGAGAAATAACCAACAATCAGGTAGCAACCTAGCTCCAGAAATAAACACAATAGACGAACTGCCACGTAACCGAAAGACGAGCAGGACATACACGACGACGCTCCAGCCCAGATGCGGTCGCGACGGGATCCCCAACATATCACACGACTATTGGCGTCCTCCAGCGCGCTGTAATCTACCCCTGCCGACGGGCTTATACTCTGGAGATTCCGGCCCTCTACTTGGGCCAGTTTCAACTGGACCAATTCCGGCTGGGACAATTCTGATTGGACCAATTCCGGCTGGGACAATTCTGATTGGGCCAATTCTGATTGGACCAATTCTGATTGGACCAATTCTGATTGGACCAATTCTGATTGGACCAATTCTGATTGGACCAATTCTGATTGGATCGGGTGTGCTGCTCTGACAGCCATAATCAGAGCCGTGCTCCACATAGCGGACTTCACCATGTGTCCCTTCGATTTTCTTGTTCAAAAAATATGCATCACAGACCGAACAAGTATTTTGACGCACGGCAGAATACTGCTCGTCAACATCAAGGTGTGCCGCGAGCCGCTGATCCACTTCATCAAGAAGCAAGGTCCGCGGCGGAAGTAGATTGGTTAGCAAAAAAGGCTCAGAGGACTCATCAGCCTACAACCGCACAATATCGTCAACAACCGGAGAACTACCAACAGTCGGAAACAACGAATTTCTGCAGGCTACCGGTCACCCAAATAGGTCATCAACGTATTGTTGAGCACCCACCAACCATGGGTTTATCACCAACCATGGGTTTACCCACCGCAAGAATCGCTGACACTCCGGGCACGGCTAACGGTCTCGCGGAAGGTTTGAGGTTTCTGAGTAAGTATTTAGATAAGATTCCGCAGCAGGAGCTCATGGCGGCGTTGAATATTAACAACTGCCAGCTGAAGGCCGCTATGGAATACCTGCTGGACCAGTTATGCGCAAAACACTCAATGAGCAATACTTCAATGATGTTGCAGCAACAGGCTGCATCGGTCAGTCTGGTGCATGAGGTAACTGCGAGTCAACCTTTCATAGAACACAATGTAACGGAGATGGATAATCGTCTTGTTAGCCCTAGTTACGAGCCACAGCGTCCTGCCACCCATGTGAGTATCTATCCGACCGAGTTGGCGGCGACTGGACGCCGAAAAGCGTTGCTGATAGGTTGCAATTACATCGGAACGAGTAACCAGTTGAACGGCTGCATCTCTGACGTGAACAGAATGAAGAAAGTTCTATGCAATGTTTACGGCTTTCCAGACTCGTCATCGTTCGTCACAACACTGACGGATGACCCAAATGGAGACCGAAGATTAATGCCGTCCAAAGCGAACATTATTGGTGCGCTTCAGTGGCTTGTCAAAGATGCCCGACCAGGAGACGTTCTGTTTTTCCAATTTAGTGGTCATGGCAGTAATCAAAGGAATTTAAGCGTAATACAAACACACGTGTGTGCACACATATATATTTCATTGTAGAATACTGAAGCTGATGGTTATGATGAGACTATATTGCCATTAGATTATAAACGAGCCGGAGTTATTACGGATGATGATCTTAATCGATATTTAATTGCTCCACTTTGCTCGGGGGTCAAATTAGTGTGTGTTATGGATTGCTGCCATAGTGGAAGTGGTCTTGATCTTCCATTTTTCTGGAATCGAGGACGTTGGCAGGAGGAATCCTATCCCAAACATACTGAGGGGGATGTTATGTTAATATCATCATGTCAAGACTCTGAAACAGCAGCCGATGTTATGGTACCAGGATGGGGTAGTGGTGGTGCTGTTTCTATCGGGATTATAACGGCTTTAATGGATTCAGATAACCCTCATGATATGACGGTCGATCAACTGATGTCTAAGTTGGGGCAATTTCTCAACGATCGAAAATTCAAACAAAATCCACAACTATCTTCTAGCCAGAAATTCAATCCTGTCACAAGATCATTCGATTTCCAGCATATCATTGATAACATGAACCCAGTGATTGGAGGAGATAATCGTCGGCCGGTCGGTCGAAACAGACGAAGATACCAGTATCAAAACTGAAGCATTACAGACAGAGCGAGCATTACAGACAGAGCGAGCATTACAGACATGGACATCGCCTTCAGCCTCAGCTATGAAATAGACACCCTTCCCGCCAAAAGGATCTAAGGACACATCGATAATCTCGGCTCAGCCCTAAAGGTTTGGCTTCGGCTTGTATCGGAATGCAATTATCCCCATACAATCTTGTAGCACTGCATCCGACGTAATACGGGTCGCCAACACTCGCTCGAGCCCTCGAATTATGTCTTCGGAAGCACCGGCTGACATTACAGGGGACGAGCCCCCTCCTTTATTATTTCCCTGTATTGACGCCGAAGTTGATGGTGTATCACATTCGCTCTTTACAACTTCGCGCACCTTCTGGAGATGTGGCTCCAAGTGGACCTGACGCATCCCACTCTTGCCGACGTCCTATTTCGACGTCTCAGTCCAGTTGTTGGTGGCTTCCGTCGGCTTATAGCTATTACGCCGGTTCTTATTGTATGGCTTTTTACCCTTGTAGTTCGACTGTTGATTGTTGCTACTACCGTTCTTCTGCTCGTACGACTTCTTCGGCGACTTATTGTCGCCTGGCTTCTTCCTAGAGCTCTTTGCGTAAATGTTCAACGGACGATCGAGAGTACCGGACTCCATCCTTTCCATCGTGGCATCTTTGCCATACGCGATGATGGATATCAATGGTCGGTCTCTCTGTCTTTGAGAGATCACTCCTTCATTACGTATTGTATCTAGAGCATCGATGAGCAGCTCCGAGTTCTCAATTGTCGGGTGGTAGATCGCTTGGGATATGATGCGTAGCTTCACCTCAAACAATTTAGGTATGCTCGCCTTCTTGCGTTTTAGTTGTGCGATGAGCGACATAGGGTCGAACATTAGACTTTCTATATCCTCTACTGCTTCGAACCCGTACTTCTGTTCTCTCTGTCTCCTGTGCGGATCCGAGTCGAGACTGCTGTATACCGGCGAGTCCTCGCGCATGATTTCTTCCAGGCCACGGGGTGGCTGTCTGGGAGGCATCGGAGGTGGTACGTATGACTTCGAGGGAGTCGAGGTAGAGTTCTGCTTCGAGAATGTGGGCGGACCATTCCTCTGTGCATCTCTAAATTCTCTCGTAGTCAGCAGAGGGGTAAGGTCTAGCTGAGGTATAGCCTTCTTCTGGTCACTCACCAGAGATCTGAATTTGCGCACCCAGTCGGGATGACAGGTGTCTAGGTATTTGTCCCGAACCTCAATGAGGTCCTCTAGGGCAATCTTCTTCTCCATTGCACGCGTCTCTAGTCAGATACTTTCCCGAACCAAAAGCTAGTCTTGTTGATGCCAAAATGACACAACAGTAGCAACGGCGACCTTTTCGCAAAGGCAGCCTGTTTCATCTTCATACCAACCTCAACACCGTGCTTCAGTAGTGATAGATCACTATCCCCGGACACCTTGACACCTGCTTCGTATATTCTTTGTGCTCCCGATGGTCCGTGGGGATTCTCTTGGATGCTACTACTAGTAGTAGCATCCAAGAGAATCATCACGGACCATCGGGAGCACAGAGATGATGTGTTGTTCGGATTTTCTAACCCACCCGCGCTTCTTGATTCCATCATCGATGATGGCCACGTGGTCTTCCAGCCCGGGTAACGCCGCCACTAGCCCTATCCCATTCAAGGAATCTGTCACAGTATTTGTCATCCATTTCCGTCCAATCTTTCTTGTTCTTTGACATCGCAGTTAGGTTCTTTTTGCCATACAGGGGAACATACGTGATCTTTGCTTTTTCACTAGATGTGGCCGGCGGAGCTACATGTTCTCCCATCGCCCTGGCTCTCATGATCTTAGCTAGTTGTGGAATTGAGGCTAGTGCTGAGTCCACGAGTCTTGACACATTGTGGGTCTCCAGTTGCTAGAACGATGTCCGTTTTCTCCGGGGTCGTTGTGTCTCTGCATAAGAACTTCGCTTCCATTCCCAATATCAGCTGAAGGGATTCTGTTTTGCATTTGCTTACTACAAATACATGTAAACTACAAACCTACACCAAAAGTTCACGCACAATCCCCGGAGTCGATGGGTGTACAGCATCTGTAACTCATCCCAGTGTTTCGTGGTGCCACACCAAGTACAAGAGCCGGAACCCGGCCGGTGGACTGGCCGCGGTAGATTCCAAGCCTGAGAGATGAGCTCCAGGGCAGCAGGAGTTCTTCCAACTAGTTTGACTGTTGGATTCCACGCATCCTATTATATTGGAATTCGCTGTTCCTCATTGCGTGGGACGTGGGGACGGTGGCTATTCTGGTACCTGCCGGGAGGCCTATACGGACATCCGGGCAGTTCAAGTGTGGCGGTATGGTCGTGAAACTGCGTCGAACGACCGTTTTGGACAGAATCCGCTAGTGATAATAGCGAGTGCGGGCACTCTTCCGCTTTTGGGGCGTGAGGCGGTAACAATTTCAGGTTCTCAGTTTTGGATAGAACCCAAGTGTGAGATGGGAGTGCGCGATGCGGACCACGACTGCTGTGGTAATTGAGCACAGGTCGAGGTGTCTTCCTATTCTCAGGACGTCTCTCTGCCAATAACGGTTCGCCACAAGGCGATCGAGGTCGGCTTTTGATGGGGCAGATTTCTTCTTTCTATTCAAGTACCCTTCGGCAACTCTCAATCCAGATTCGTTGATATCAAACATTCCGTCAGCGATCTCGTATACACCCTCTACCGTCATTAGCGCTAACCCCAACAATCTCAGTCTTAATGGAATGTCTGATTATGGGAAGTCATGATTCCTTGTAAAATGAGGATGGAAATAAAAGCTTCTGTGATTGCTCAGCCACAACAACAATTTACCCAAATTAGGGTAAACTCCACCGATCAAAATCATCCACTCTATCAATCACATTAGCCCACTTATGGCCGGCCATTGCCTTTGTCAATCGGTTCACCATCGCTCCAGGGCTGAACAATACATCGCTAACGGGAACGGTCCCGTACATGGAATTAATGTCGTAATTTGCTTAATTCGATCATTAGTTCGTTCGCCAGTCAACCTCTTAGCGGCACTAGGGAGAAACATATCGTTTGAGTCTCTCATTTTTGACATCAACGGAGTGCTCCCTGTCTGACAGTAGGTAATGGACATGATCGCCACACCAAGAGAAGCCTCCGCGGTGCTTATTTTCGCGTCGTCAACATTCGGCGGAACCTGGGTCTTCAAGACAAACGTTTTGTCCCGCTCCATAACGTGGAACACCGCATTGCTATCAAATAACGCGGAACACCGCATTGCTATCAAATGTCGACAGCCCGAGCTGTGATAGAGCGATAGCCGAAAGACCATGCTTCACATCTTTCTGTGCGGTTCTGAACGTGACCGTCGCTATATCAACGGCTCCGGAAATGTCCGGCTGCGGGTGTGCCTCAATGATGGCAGCGGGTGGCAATCCTTCGAACAATGTGAACCACGTCCCTGTGCTGGCTGCGGTGCTCTTGTACGTCTTCACCACATCTTCTACTTTCGGATCACCACAAGTCCGCTTTGCCAAAATTTGGATTGCATTTTCGACAACTGACAATTCAACTGTCTTGCTACTTGGCAGCCGGTCCTCCGCCACACCCTTACGATCGACTCCCATTGCAGATGACTTGCTTTCCGCCACTGTCTCTCTTGATGTTTTGTTTACTCCCAATAGTCCGTAAAAATTCTCTTAGTAAAAAAATCCCCGTACAAATTAAAAATCAGCAAAGTCGTAGAGGGGCTGATTGTCGCACGCGGCAATGATCGAATTGTTGAGTAATGATGTATGTAGATAGCGTGAGTTCACAGCGCGCTGCGCCAGAATAGTGCCGGAGAATGCTAACGTGAAATCCTGAGCAACATGACGCCACTCCTCGTCTTCTTCAGCCTCGGCAACCAAACTAGGAGGCCATAACTTTGCCATGAAAGTCGTCACAGACAAAGGCTGGAACAAGCTTTGCCATTCGACTTTGCATCTGCAGAACAGCAACAGCATATTGCAAACGAGCTCGCCGACTGAGCCCTTGGATTCGAGGCCCGTTGATAAGGCATCGGATGCAAGGCGCAAACTGGTTTCAAACCAGATATCCCGCTCAAACAGCAAGCTGAACCCTTTTGCCGACACCTCGGAACGGCTCTGACGCAGACCGTCTCCCGGTCTGACTCGCAGAAACTCATGATGGCCATATGGGACGCGACCAGATTTTCACCTAGAATCCGCCGGGGCACGTACGACCAACTCGTGCACGCCAGCAGCGCGGTAATGGCTACAACCTTTCAAGAAAAACAGTCGCGCCCCCCCATCATCTTCTCCCGCACAAAAGCGTTCCTGTTGGCCTCTTCAAACTCCGCCAGTGGGCTTGGCATTTGGTTGTGGGTTTGTAGGATACGAGGTGAGGTATCTACGCCGTCAGGGTCTGAACCATGCCGGCCATCTCCCGATGGTATTCTTGGCGAGGGCCTGTTTTTTTTGGACTTCAAGAGGACTACAAATTTAGAGAAAGTCATCCTGATCTTCGCCCAAACGGCTCGCCCAAACTAGAGCATAGCAATAAATCAGGCCAAGCCATCTTTCTTAGTCATTCATTCCCGTGCTTGATGGTTGTGCGTGTTCGTCACACACTTGGTGGTTGGTTCCATCACGAACACCAATCCAATTTGTTTGGTAGTTCCATTTGTGTGTTGGGGAACTGTAGTGTGTCCGTTTTCTACGCCTTTTCGCGCGATTGCTTGTTCCCCCCATGCTCCACCAATCAGTATGCAGTGTTCACAAGTGAGGTCCATGTATTGCAGATGCCGACAGCCGTTCAGAAGCAATCCAAAATGAAGCCACTTAAAGGACGGCATTGGATCTATACGGAGTTTGCGCTGGAACCCACGACAATTACCCAAAGCGTGTATCAATATGCGCAGCCGGAGAAGTGTCCGTCGACGGGGAGGATCCACTACCAGGGATTCCTCTCCTTCGCATCTCCCCGGTATGCGCATGGCGTCTTAAACCTCTTCGCCACCCGCCCGCATCTGGAGATGTGTCGAGATGCTCGGCGTGCACTCGCTTACTGTCGAAAAGCAGAAAGTCGGTGTGGCCCTCCATTGGAGCGCGGCCATTGTCCGCTCGAGACGGTCGAAAACGATCCAGCGTGGTGGTTGGAATTGTCCGACGGCCAGTTGTGGCAAAACTATCCGCAGTGGGCCAGCAAACACGCGGCCGGTCTACGAAGCTATCGGTGTCTCGAAAAGGGACCCACTAAGCCCCGACCTCCTCCCAAGGTGTATGTGTTGTGGGGCGCGAGTGGAACTGGGAAAACGGCTGCGATACTCCAGAAGACCACCGACTTCTACACGAAGGGTAACCCATATTGGGACGGCTACAGTGGTCAGCGAATAGTTGTATTCGATGGTGTCGCTGCCGACAACGTTCCCCCCTTCACTCACTTGATGCGATGGCTGAGCTGTGCTCCGTTGATGGTCCCCATAAAGGGAGGACAAACATGCCTGAGAGCGTCGACGTTTATGTTCTGCTCTCACTCGCACTACTCGGAGTGGTGGGAACTCGGAGATTTGAGCCCGATGGAGCAACGAATCACACGGATTTTTCACTTCACGCGCCCCGTCAATGAGCCAGATGAGGCTCGAGAGACATTTGCCTCGGAAATTCATCTCTAGTTAGTTGGCTAATTGGCCGGGTGGTTAGTTCCACAGGTAAAATCGAAAGGCATTCCGTAAGGAGGAGCTGAGCTTAGTCTCATTCCTGCCGAATTGTGCAAGGCCGACATGGAGCGAGTGGAATTGCGAATCGTTCGTGGGGTGAGGGGAACGGCCAGTTAACCGGAAGAATCCTCCTACATAAGCGGCTGGGTGACCATGATGAAATAGTAGAATTTCTTGTTCATGCCAGTCTGACTCTTATCCTCCTCGGGTACCGTATTCGAGGAAATATTCGATGATTTTCCTCGGGTACCGTATTATGTACCAACCTGAGATAACGAACAGTGGAACCGTACGGTTATTTCATAAGCCCTAGCTTGTGGGTGTGTGGTGAGTTGTGGATCTTACCAATCCTGGATGAATGGTATTGCTAAACTCATGTTACACTAGTTTTTTTCCCATCACATACTTCCCCCACACACGTGTGTATAGTATTACTTTATAAGGGAAAACTGTGTCTGAGTGTTCCAAGATGCGGGAAAACTGTGCCTTAGGTGTGTCTTGACTGTATCAAACGATTCAGCTGCATCTAGATGCAGGGTAGTTACCCTTCCCACGACGTGCATGTGTCGGTAGGAGCACCGCGACGTTAATCAACGATAACGACATCTGATTGGATGAAGTGGCGATGACGCCGAGCTTGGTTGGTAAGGTATTGGCTTACCAAGGCTATTACAGGTGACGGGGAATTAGGGTTTGATTCCGGAGAGGGAGCCTGAGAGACGGCTACCACATCTAAGGGTGGCAGCAGGCGCGCAAATTACTCAGTCCCGACACGGGGAGGTAGTGAACAAAAATAGTGGCATAAAGCATATTGTTTTATGACTGCAATGAGTGAAAATTACATCGTTTCACGAGTAACAATTGGAGGGCAAGTCTGGTGCCAGCAGCCGCGGTAATTCCAGCTCCAAT